CAAAACATAATTCGACCTAGTAGCTCTCCTTGGAGTTCACCAATTTGGGTGGTCCCCAAAAAATTGGACGCATCTGGGAAACAAAAATGGAGAGTCGTAGTCGACTACAGGTCATTAAACGCTAAGACGATTGATGATCGCTATCCTCTCCCCAACATTACAGACCTTTTAGACAAACTCGGTAAATGTCAATATTTTTCAACTCTTGACCTAGCGAGCGGATTTCATCAAATTGAAATGGCTCAAAATGACGTAGAAAAGACAGCTTTCAGTACAGAAAATGGACACTTTGAATATCTGCGGATGCCATTTGGCTTAAAGAATGCTCCTGCGACTTTTCAGAGGGTCATGGACAACATTTTAAGAGGCATTCATAATGAGCATTGCCTAGTCTACCTAGACGATATTATCGTGTACTCTGTATCATTACAAGAACATCTTAAAAAACTCAGGTTGGTTTTTGAACGCCTCCGCGAATCAAACTTCAAGGTCCAACTCGACAAGTCAGAATTCTTGAGAAGGGAGGTGGCCTATTTAGGTCACGTTGTCACACCAGAAGGAGTTAAACCAAACCCCGACAAAATTCGTGCCATCAAAGAATTTCCACTTATGAAAACCACTAAACAAATAAAAGGTTTTCTTGGTCTGATTGGCTACTATCGCAAGTTTATAAAAGATTTCGCAAAATTAACCAAACCCCTTACAAAGTGTCTGAAAAAAGGTGCAAAAATAGTTCATAATGAAGAATTTCTAACCTGTTTCGAAACTTGTAAAAACATCCTCACAAATGAGCCAATCCTCCAATACCCCGACTTCAACAAACCTTTCAATCTCACAACGGATGCAAGTAACGTTGCTCTGGGCGCAATATTGTCCCAGGGACCAATTGGGCAAGATCTGCCAATTGCGTATGCGTCACGCACTTTAAATAATAGCGAAGCACATTATTCTACCGTCGAACGAGAATTATTAGCCATCATCTGGGCCACTAAATACTTTCGCCCCTATCTTTTTGGACGCAAGTTTAGCATTATAACCGATCACAAACCCCTTCAGTGGCTATTTTCGATTAAGGATCCCACGTCCAAACTCCTAAGATGGCGCATTAAGCTAGAAGAGTTCGACTATCATATTGTCTATAAATCAGGCAAATCAAATACCAACGCTGACGCGCTTTCACGCATCGAGCTCCACATGAAAGAAACAGAAGACCATTTTCCTCTGAAAAAATATATCGAAGAATTCAACAAAGAATTGGAGCAATCAGAACAATCTGCTGACAAACAAGACAAAAATCTAGATTTAATTTCAAATATAGCTCAAGCAGACGAAATGTCCACCCACGCAAATGACGAACCTCCCGAAAACACCCATCATGACCCCGAGCGACTACTAAACGATGACGTCACAGTACATACAAATGTAGAAGAAGATCCTATTGTTGGGATACCAATAATAGAAACTGCGGTGAATTATGGCGCTAATCAAATTATCATTTCAAAAGTATTCCACTCCCCCGCAAAACCCAAAATGTCCATTTTATTTGAAAAAAAGAGACGAATACTTGTCCAACTCTCAGAAAACAATTTCGAAAACGACGTAATAAATCTTGTTAAAGAAAATGTAGTCCCTGATAAACTTTATTATTTATTCTTCGAAAACCCGGAAGTTTATGAACCATTTTGCGAAGTAATCCGTAAAACTTTTAAATATCCTTCCTTAAGGTTTAAAAAATGTACCACCAAATTATTAGACATATTCGATCATAATGAAATCCCTAACATCATAAGAAACTACCACGAAAGTAAAACCAACCATAGAGGAATAGACGAGACAGAACTTAGGATTAAATCAAAATATTATTGGCCAAATCTCAAAAAATCAATCCAGACTTTTATTAATCAATGCGAAATTTGTCAGAAAAGTAAGTACGAGAGGCACCCGGTTAAAATGCAGATGAATGTAACACCAACAAGTTCAAAACCCTTCGAAGTATTACATGTAGATACTTACACTTTAGAAAATTCAAAATTCCTAACAATAACCGATAGCTTCTCAAAATACGCCCAAGCATATTACCTAAAATCGCTAAACGCCACCGACATAGCTGATAACCTATTGCAGTTCTTCTCCCATCATGGACTACCAGATTTAGTCACTTTTGATAATGGGACTGAATTCAAAAATAATGTTATCACAGAACTATTGCTTTTACATAAACTAAAAATTCATTTTGGATCCCCACATCATCCAGCATCCAACGGAATAGTTGAAAGAATCCACTCAACTTTGGCAGAACACGTCCGACTTTTAAACAATCAAGGTTTTTCGAAAAGTCCAATAACCCATAAAGTGACTTACGCAATTTTGGCGTATAACCATACCATACACTCAGCTACCAAAATGAAACCAATAGACATAATAAATGGGCATATTTCTAGTAATGACCCTTTTAACCAAAATCTAGAACATACACTCCTGAGCAATTACGTTAACGAACATAAAGAAAAATCAAAATTACTTTATTCAACAATCAACGAAAAATTAATCGAAGATAAGACGAAACTTATAGAAAAATTAAACGAAAAACGTGACACCCCTGACCTATTCCAACCTAATCAAATTGTCTATGTGCGAAAACATGAACGGAAAAAGTTGTCTGATAAATTCTCTAAGCCAACTGAAATAAAGTCGGTTAACCCTGAACGAAAGACGATCACTACAGACGCCCACGGAAAAATACATATGGATAATCTTAAAAAACCTCTTAGAAATACGTACAGTTTTGACTAGAATTCATTTTACAGCTAGGTTTCCTATTTCAGGTTCGTCGGCTTCGCACTTGTCGTTGGTAACGAGATAACTTTAAGAAAATTGGACGACAATGTTGGAATTATGCCGATTAAGCTAGGATCTGCAAAATGTGTCGAATATACTTATACTTTAATGCATTATTTTGATTTAAACCCAATTTTATCCGAATGCAATAAACTATACGAAAGACATAACAACATTTCAAACCTAATAGACACGCACCCTGGATATTTGAATGACAGTCAGAACTATATTAAGCTCCTTAACATTTTACAAGTGAGGATTGCAACCAAGATATCAGAAATTGTGCCTCATCCAAAACGATTAAAAAGAGGATTAGTTAACGTTGTTGGATCAATGTTTAAAGCTATCACAGGAAACTTAGACGCATCTGACGGCGAATATTATGACGAAGTAATAAAAAATTTACAAAACAACCAAAATGAGTTAGCAAATAACATTTTGAAACAAAACTCCTTATCCGTCAATGTTATCAATAAATTTAATCAAACTTTGCAACAAATGTATAACAATGACAAATACTTAGAATCAAAGATAAATCAAATCGCCATGATAGTTCAAAGTTCTGCTTATAGAGAAAATTCACTGTTTATCAAGGATGTCTTGATACAAATGATCAATACATACGAAATAATTGAATCCATACTACAAGACTTGGAAAATTCAATAACATTTGCAAAATTAAGCATCATTCATCCCAGTATAATTAAAATTAACGATCTCTATAAGGAACTCCTTATTATGCAAGAAAAGTTAGGATATAACCAAATGGTTTTACCAATCTCCTTAGAAAACACTTTTCTTTACGAAAAACTGATTAATATCGATTGCTTTATCCTTAATAATAAAATCAATTTCTTGCTTCGCATACCTGTTTCTTACCCAAAATTATTCGAGTATTTTCATTTGTATTCCATACCAGTCATATATAAGAGTTGGTTTAGGGCTGTTCTAACGCGAAATAATTATTTAATAAAAAATGAATTGCACCATGCGTACTACGGTCAGCCCTGCACAAAGGTAACCACCAATCTTTATCTTTGTAAACAAGAAGAGCTCCAGAAAAACGAAGACAACAATTCTTGCGAAATTGCACTATTAGACGCAGATCCGCAGACGTCAACTTGCCAAAAAACACAAGTAATTATCACCCGACCAATAATCAACCAACTAGAAAATTCGAATCAATGGATTTTTGTAATGCCAAAAGAAGAAACCATCAAACTTAAATGCAGTGCGCAAGAAGAAATCCGAAGACTACACGGAACGTACCTTGTCCAAATCCCTAACGATTGTTTGATCAAAACCAATAATCAAACAATAATAAATGGAAATCGATCGACGAATGCAACCCTTCAACCAATAATATTTCCTGACTGGCCGAACATTCCAATTGCACCGAATCAGTTAGATTTATCAGTGCATATCAAAGAAATCAAGCTAGACGACCTTGTTGACATAAAGAAGCAAATTCAAGCGAACTACCCTCAGTTGCACTCTCCTCAGCTCTACCATTACCCAAGTATATGGACCATGTTCATTTATGTGGTTCTTATCACCTGTTTTGGGGTAATGACCTACAAAAAGTATATCCAACCAAGATGTTTAAAGAAAAATCCAGAACAAGACGAAGGAAGAATCGACCCCCGAGTTGTTCAACTACCCCTCTAGACGGCCTAGTTGAATCCGAGGATGGAGGAGTTATGTCACCAACCAAGACGATATAACGCTGACATAGCATCTCTAATTTCTTTATATAAATTGCTTCCATCGAACTTTAGTACACTTTTTACTTAGCTATATGATTGTCAATTAGTTTTAATTTTTAGAATAAAGTTTTTAAAAACGGTGTCGGTCGTCTCGATAAGTTAACTCACTTGTATTTAATTATTTTTAGTACAAATAAAGTTTTTTCTTGTAATTATGAGAAGTAACAACATAGTCCACAGTGTTCAAGTTACAATTTTTTTTTTTTACCAACCCTAATTTCATTTAATCGACTTATTTTTCTCTAATTTGTCGTACCTACCTATACTATACCTATTTATGAAAAACATAAAAATTTACACTTAAAGAAATAAAAAAATATGTGCGTCTATATGTAACCACGATTGTAAAGAAAGACAAAATTTTCAGTAAGTCAAGTCTCAAATCAAATTAACCAGCAGCACTGACATGGACCCTCCCACCAGGACATGTGACAACTACGACAAGAATGGTGCTTGTCCTTATGGGATAACATGTAGGGACTCTCATAATTACTGCAAGTCCACACTTCCTAGACTTGCAAAGCAAATGGATATGGTTGTTAGCATTCTTTCATCTGTAGAAGACAAGCTAAGCCATATAGCTATCAAGACCAAGTCAAAAGGCACAAGGTCCCGCTCTAGGACCAGGATATCTCAAGACATGGCAAAGACCAGGAGTCAAGGCAATCAAGTAGGAAGAGGGAGAGGTCGGGCTAAGGCTTCAACACCAGGTTCCCCAACACAACCTGGAGTATCTAGTGTTGTTCAAAGAGGTGAAAAGAAGAAAAAAGTAAGTCCAAACCTCGGCTTATTTGGTGCTGATCTCGCTGTGATGTTAGATGACTTAAATATCAACTTACAGAGAACCTCTGAAGACAGCCCTCAAGTCCCTTCCAGCGGTGATTAAGCTCTAACCTCCATGAAGATGACACCATTGGTATAATATTAATAATATCATATATTTGTTTGATGTATGCCGACTAGATGTTTTTTTGGTGTTTCACTTGGGACTAAAAATAGGTACTATACATTATATTTTAATTTTAGGATCCACCTGTTCGAGCTTTTCAATCCATGGAAGAAGAAACACCAAAAAATATTGTTAAAAATCAGTTCGGTGTAGGTTATTATCATCTAAACATTAGTTTGCATTTTTTAGGATCTCTGCTCGTCTATGGAAACTCTCCCATTTACAAGCAGTGGCCAAGAAACTGACAATAATGAATTACCTACTTCTGATATTCCAATAAACGTTAGTACCAGTAAATGTTCCAGTATGCAGAGACTTATTTGTTCGAACCCTACAATTTTCAACAGAAAGGGTAAACACTGCACTTAAAAAATTCAGAACACTTGATTTTCAGGATAATCGTGGTAAGCCTAAAAAACATTTCAAAATTTCCGATATTCAGAGGCACATAGCACAAAGCCACATAAAAAAAATCCCCAAGTACAGATCCCATTATCGTCGTCAGCAAACGGATCGAGAATACCTGCCTACCGATATGACCATAGAATCCATGTATACTTTATATAAATCAGAGATTAACCATAATCGAGACCATAATCCTGTAAGCTTATCAAGTTAAAAAAAAATAATCTACTCAGAGTTTAATATTACAAGAAAAAAACTAAAAAAAGATACATGTAACAAGTGCGACACACTACATGCCATAATTTCGTCAGGTAATGCAGATGAAAACAAAAGAGCAGGGCCCGGATTCCAATTAACAACACGATATCGGATAAGGCGCTTTTGGTCTCGATTTCGTATTATTATGTACACGAATGCGATTCGATTTCGTGATCTCGATAGCAAATGGAATCCTCTAGCAGAAGTTGAATGCTACTTGAAAGCCGCGTAGGCAGCTAGGGAAAAAATGAATAAAGATTTTAAGCTTTCAAAGGAAAATGCCCATATAGTCATTCTCATTTGACCTAGAAAAAACTTTACCTTTACCAAGAATTCCTACAAATGTTATGTTTTATAAACGCTAGTTGTGGCTTTATAATTTGGGAATACACTCTGCTAAAGAAGATAAGTCCTACTGTTTTCTCTTCCCGGAAGGCACTGCTGGTCGAGGTGCTCAAGAAGTTGGATATTGCATAAAAAAATATTGCGACACTTTTTTAGAAGAAACTATACTTAACAGATTTGCACTTATGGTCGGATTCTTGTGGTGGACAGAACCGTAATGTAAAACTTTGCCTAATACTAAAACACATTTTGAATCAATCTCCAAGTTTACAAAATATCTACATGAAATTCCTTGTATTAGAACATAGTTTTTTGCCAAACGATTATGATTTTGTCGATATTGAAAAGGCATTAAAATATCAGCAAAGACTGTATACGCCAAGAGATTATATCAATGTGATGAAGAGTTCCAGAGCGAAGAATTCTTTTATAATACATAAAATGTGTAAAGAGGATTTTATCTCATCTGAAGTATTGGAAAAAAGTATAGTGAATAGAAAAAAAGATACTATTGGTGGGGAAAAAATAAACTGGCTTAATGTCAAAGAAATTAAAATTGATAAAAACTCTTCATATAGCATATTTTTCACGTTTCTAAAAAAATAACCATCCTATACTTTACATGTATTGAGAAAAAAAAATCAAGAGAAATGCAAAATATCCTATTTTAGATTTATAATAGGGCACCAAACACATAAAACCTGCATTTGAGTAGTGATTCACACATGCGTTTCTCAAAAAAGTGAGTTTTTGATAAGGAACCAGGCGTTTGGTTCCTTTAATAACATGGGGAAACCACAGAAAAAATACTAATATTCAAGATCTTTTTATAAATATTGCGTGATTATGTTTATAGGTAGTTAATATGACGCCTCTTTAAACGCCCCCAATGAGAAAAAAAACTGCATACTTATTTTCAAAAATAAATCGTGCAATGAAGTAATTCCTCCAAATATCTCCATTTAAATTTTGACGCTTGGTTCTTTGTACGTTAACACTATCCAATTTAAACTAAAAATAATTCTCAATCCAATGCTTTATATATGCTTTCTAAAGTAAATATCCATTACGTAAAGATATACTCAATAATAGAGGGGAGAAAGAGCGGGAGACATTTTCCTCATCTTATATTTCATCCTACCTTATGCCCATGCTTAAAAATATTCAAGCTAAGTTTTTCACACTACAAAAAATATAATCATAATAATTAAATTTAAAGACTGGCTTTCAAAAGATAATGAATGGAAGTAAGTTTATTTTTTGAAAAAGTAAGATGCCTATTTCAAATTTCACGACGGAAAATCGAAAACCGACACGTTATATTGTTTATTCATTTCAAGCCACGAGTTGGTTATTCTAACAATGGTTATACTTAGTTGTAATGTTTATGTGACGATGATGCTTGAGCTTGATTAGTATAAAATACGCCTAAACGGTTCGAAATCATTCATTCCATTGTTATTGCATTTCCTATCAGGAATGCTTCAGAAAACCAAAAAATTTCACGTCCACAACTTTTGGAAATTAACTATTGTGGTCACAATTTTTGTCTCCTAATTTAAAATTAAATTACGATATTGAAACTAAAGAAATAATTGTACGTATAAAGTCAGACATTGGTATTAATTCTGATTCTATTGGTACTCTACCTCCCAACACTCCTGTTGAAGCTGAAGAAGGAATAAGTCATATTCCATATAGAAGAATTTTAACCTCAAGAAAACGACAAAGAAACTATTCTCTGATAAACGAAGAAGAAGAAGAATTAGAAGGAACAGAAAAAGTAGGAGAAAATAGTAAATACACAGGAATACATCATCAACAAGAACAAGAATCAACTAGAATAGAAATACCAGAACAAAGACAAGAACAAGAAGCAATCAAAAATTGATTCAGTGATTCAGTTCCCACTCAAGCTTCTAACCATAATGATAACAGATGTTTAAGACCTGACTTGATCGGAGATTGGACTTATATAGAGTTGAAGAGAATTTAATCGTTTTTTCCTAAAATAGATAATTTTAATGTACACCTTTACGCAAGAAGCAATGGAGTTTCTTGTTTATCAGAAAATTTATTCCAAAAAATTTTAAATCCATTTTTTTTTTTAAATTTATTCGAAAAAAACAATTTTTCTAGTTGTAATAACTTTTATGTATTTTCATGTCATAGAGCCTTCCAAAAAGAATTAAAATTTGGTACAATTTCATGTTCCAAGTGTTATGAATGAACCTTACCAGATAATGGGGTTATGAATACAATTATTGAGCAAATTAAACCAAGTAATGTGTTCAGAGTGCATATGCATGATCTAGGTCATTATTACTGTTCTTGGTGTTTAAAAGACACTGCCTATCCACAACAATGTGAATTATATAGGTCTCATAAGTTTTGGTCTGCATTTGAATTATGGTACACTAATTAATTAAGATTGCGTAGTTTTTTGTTTTTTTTTAAAGCTTTTATAATGTCTTCTTGTTCTACATAAAATGGTTGATAATAGACAGTGGGAACAGAAACTTAGAGAAGTCGGTCCGACGACTCGGTGCTCGACTGCCTGCTGGATAAGTTTAGTATCGAGCGACGCTGTATAGCACGAGGTTCGGGCGGTAAACTTCCGCCTACTGCCGATCGGTCTTTCCAAGAATGGAAATCGTTATTTAGTTAAACGAATTTAATTTAGATAATATAACAAAATAAATTATTCAATGCGGATGTGATTGTGTGGCGGTCCTTAATTCGACCGAGCTTGTTAACTTCCAAGCTTCGAAAAGAAGTGCTACGTCATTTTTCCAAATGCAATAAAAAAAGATCACAGTAATTATCGGTTGCATTCAGAAATTTTTTATGAACCGTTGGAATACCTGACGGCCTATTCGAATCAATTAGCTGTGGCTGGGCGCGCTGCCTGCTTTACTTGTTTCCTATCAAGAAGGAGCCGAGCTCGAGAGTGTTTTTTGGGATTTTCAACAACACTATGTCGTTTCGAAATCCGACACACCCAAAGTGGAATATTTTCGAAATTTTACGCTGTACCAAGTTTCCAATGTTTTGCAAGTCAAAGTCGACGCAACGAGCGTTATTTTAACCCAGTTACACCAGGACGTCGATATAATGTCTGGTATTAACCAAGCGCTGTATTAGCGGTCTTAGAGCTTCTTCTAGAAATTTGCGCTCACTCCATACCATAAGAAAATTCACTGACTGTCCAGCTTTTCACCGGTATTTTAATTCTTATCATATCGTCGTCTTATAAAGATCCGATCGTTTAGATGGGGCTGCAAACAAGTCAAGAGAAAGCTGGAGGACTATCAATGATATTCGTCGAAATTGCAATGATCAGTCAACGGCAAGCCCTGAGATCTCTGCCAGTGAAATAAATGAGTTTTTCTCCGATATCGCTCAAAAGCTCCATCAAGATATCAATCCCACGGGGGATCCACTAGGCTTCTTGCAGAATACTGGTCCTCAGAACTCATTTTTCTTCATGCCCACCGACTTGATGAAACTGAAGGAAATAATACATTTCATAAAAAACAAGAATTGAGCTGGCGAGGATGGCCTTTCTGTAGAAATATTCCTCAACTTGACGAATGTTGCTCTGCTGGTGCTGGTTGATGCTATTAATGCTTCGTGGACAAATGACACATTTCCACCGTGTTTGAAATATGCGAAAGTTATACCAATTCATAACGCTCGATGATCCTTCTAATTTCAGACCAATATCTCCTTTGTCTACACTGTCAAAAATCATTGAAAGGATAGTCAAAAATCGTGTTGTATCCTTTTTAAAATCCAACGGTATTCTCAGCAGGTTTCAGTTTGGCTTTTAAGAAAACAGAAGCACTTATGACGCCATGTACAGTTTTCTCTGAACTCTATTGCCAGATTACCGATGGTGGGGTTTCCGCCGCAGTGTTTTGTGACTTTTCGAAAGCATTTGACTTTGTCAGATACGAGATTCTGCTTCGTAAACTCTACCATTATGGCTTTAGAGGCGTGGCATCAACCTGGTTCTCGTCTCATCTGACGGGTCGTCGTCAGCGAGTGTTTGTGGGCTCTGAGTGCTCGGAATGCCGTTCGGTGGCCTGCGGAGTCCCGCAGGGCTCTGTTCTGGGACCACTGCTTTTTCTTCTTGTATGCTTTTATAATTATTGCAGATCTGTTACTAAGGCTTGCTTACATTATAACGGTCTGAACGGTTTGACAGTGGTTTTGGTTTCAAAAAGGTACCCATTGGACGAATTAAAGTAAGTCCAACTGATTGAATCTAGCTGGAAAATTATCATTTTTAGTAATTATTGTAGCTTTAGTACTTCTTCAGTCAGTCCTACCGGCTAGGCGGCAATGGCAAGTACGGTTGCCTATAGGGGCCATGTGGTTGATAGCGACGGAAAAGTTATATCCTATCAGGAAATGAGCGATGGGGAGATATTTGTTAATTTGAACGATATGCAAAGAGCAACTGGAGTTAAGCTTTTTAGTCCAGACGAGTAAGAAAAACTATGGTTTTGAGTGGGTATTTTTTTTTCTAATCGATATTTTTCCAGGAAATTACGAGAAAAAATTGAGGCCAAAATATTTAATTATTTCATGGAGTGTGTAATTGAATCAAGAAGGATTCTCTCGGAAGAACAGATCATTGATTCATTTGAAAGGTAATTTTCAATGTTTGATAATTGGCAGAATTTTATTCTTAATTGAATTTTAGGGTAAGGACTAAGTTATTTTATACCGGCACGTTGGCGCTTGATAAAGGACGCAAGACACCCGACGCAAGACACCCTACTCAAGTCAAGCAACGTGGTGTCGGGTTGGAGATTGGATCGGTGACCGCAGTAGTATGGGAGGGTAGATCGCCCGCGCTGCCGCCAATTAACTAATCTCCAAGTATGAATGGGAAGGAGTCCATATAATGAGATATGAAATGCCTTTAAGGCTGTAGTGTAGAGTATGGGCTCGAAGAAAAAAAAAAAATGTCCATGAGTTTTTGTTATTGAAACCACTGGGAAGCAACATTCCGATCTATTGTACCTAATTGAATATCGACCCGAAATCCAGCCGATTTCTTTTTATTATTTCGTATCCTAGTTAGGTTTATTTTATTTTCTAATAAATAAAGTTCCAAGTTAATTACCGACACCGAAATCTCATCTCGTAATATTTCTTTAATTAATTATTATAATAAACTGACTCATAACTTTGTCTAGAGTAAATTATTGTTTCCCTGTCTGTTATGAGTGTCATTTACTACCTGTTTAGTTAGGTACCTATATTGTACCAGGCACCAGTTAGAAATATTGTCATTGTCAGAGATATATCACTTTATTAAATAAAATGTCAATTACGCTCTCCATTGAAATTGGATTTATTCAATACGCCTAAGTGGTAGGAGATACAACAGTTGGCGACGAGGATCACGAAGAATCTATAATGCCTCGCAACAGAAGAACGAATCATTCGATAATAGTAAAATACCATGAACCCGATGGATTGAAAGATTTGAAGGGGCTTTAGATCATAGGCGGTTCTAGCCCATCTGTGCTGGGGTGGCTGAAGCCCCCGCTCCGAGGTCGTTCCCCCCCGGAGGCGAAATTTTGTTTTGGCTGCCACGCCCAAAAACCTTATATTTTAATAAATATTTAGTCAATTTTTTTTAAATTTATTTATGAAAAATACAAAAGTTTCATTCTCGGTTTCATTATTACAAAAGAAATTTTGTTTACAAGGTAAATATGCAGTATAGCCCGGTCACCTAAAATGGACTTTTTTTGAATAAGAATCATTTGTTTAACGTTCAAATAGTGCATTTTGAAGAAAATGTTCCAGCGGAAATCTTTAATTTAAAAATTACAAATTAAAATTATATTGAAAATACTCAAAAAATACTATTTTAGGTGACCGGGCTATACTGCACTTTATCCCCTAAATAAATATGCAGTATAGCCCGGTCACCTGAAATGGTATTTTTTTGGATAAGAATCGTTTGTTTAACGTTCAAATAGTGAATTTTGAAGAAAATGTTCCAGCGGAAATCTTTAATTCAAAAATTACAAATTAAGATTATATTGAAAACACTCAAAAAATATTATTTTAGGTGACCGGGCTATACTGCACTTCATCCCCTAAATAAATATGCAGTATAGCCCGGTCACCTAAAATGGTATTTTTTTGAATAAGAATCGATTGTTTAACGTTCAAATAGTGCATTTTCAAGAAAATTTTCCAGCGGAAATCAGTAGATAATCAAAGGGGGTATGACTACAAAAATCCGACCATAACCTCAATCTTTCATTCTTGACACGTGGTGGATGCGCCACCGTTGACACGAAGGTGGATGCATCGTCGACGCCATCTTGTCAAACGTCATGGCGCCATCTAGCGTACATAGTGTGAAGTTCATAATACAGGATGCTGTAGTTGGGGGCCCACAGGGCTCCGCCCCCCAAAAGGGGGCCCACAGGGCTGCGCCCCCCAAAAAGGGGCCCCCCCGGATTTTACTATGGGTACCAGAAAAAGGGGTGGGGGGAAATGTTTTCCCGCCATCATGTCAACCGTCACCTGGCAAACGTCACCTGTCAAACGTCACCTGTCAAACGTCACCTGTCAAACGTCATCTGTCACCTGTGATGACGTCATACCGGGTTATTGCGGTGAATTCTTGCAATTACAGGTTCCTGTAATATGGAGTTTGCGTGGAAGGGATTGTTCCGAGTCGTTTCGAAATCGCTACGTATATGTAATTATGGTTCAGGTAATTACAGGTTCCTGTAATATGGAGTTTGCGTGGAAGGGATTGTTCCGAGTCGTTTCGAAATCGCTACGTATATGTAATTATGGTTCGGGTAATTACAGGTTCCTGTAATATGGAGTTTGCGTGGAAGGGATTGTTCCGAGTCGTTTCGAAATCGCTACGTATAGTTAATTATGGTTCGGGGAATTACAGGTTCCTGTAATATGGAGTGTGCGTGGAAGGGATTGTTCCGAGTCGTTTCGAAATCGCTACGTATATTAAATTATGGTTCTGTGATGACGTCATAGCGACCTGGGTCACGTCCATTTTTGCATCAAACGCCTATCATTTCGTAAACACGCGTTATATCATTTTTTACTTATATGGTCACATCAGTTTGTGTGTCGGTGGCGCCATCTAGCGTACGTTGTGCGACGTGTCCTATTACAGGATGCCGTAGTGGTAAATAAAGAAAATTCGTGAAACTCAAGGTTACAGACCATCGAGTCGACGACGCTTAATGTCGGAGCGTTATAAACAAAGGTATCATATTTCACAGTTTATTTTACTGATAAGCATTTACGTTCTAGCGAAAATAACAAGCTGGGACTTGCATCTAATATTTTGTTGACGAAAAAAAGGATATTTTCACTGCAGATTAACTATGGGAAATTTAATGAATTAAATGAGTCACACTTATTTTTTAAATTAAAACCTATTTATTTATTAAACCATAGGGTACATTGACTTTTTCCAATATGGTACGTTAAATTCAATAATAATATTACGCAGCAAATGGCAATAAATATGACTACATTTAAAGTGGATTTTGGTGCGATGTCGTTGTCTGATAGAGTCTTATGGGAATTATTGTATGTTTCTTCTTGCTGTTGTGGTTCTCTGATGAGAGTTCTCCATTCGGTATCTCCAACAGTTTCATCATGAAAATGCAGCCTCACCTTGTAACGCAGGTACGCCAATGACGTCGACGACGGTATACGAGTCGTGAAAACAGCTAAATGGCCCTTATCTATTACTTCATAATGCATTTTTGTCCACGATGTTGTTTTATTAGGTGCGGAAAAGTCCAGCATTATTGACATTTTGTGGACATTGTACGGTCTGTGTACATAGAAACTATTTTGCACAAGGGCAACCAAGAGAACATAGTACGATTGACTTGACACCATCATGGTTAGTAATTGAATGATAAGATTCATTTCCACATCCTTAATAAATTGGCGCAATGGTTAATATAATGCAAACGATTTTTTTCACCAAGAAAACTTTTATTTTAATAGAAACATCATACAAATTAGTCAACTTCATCGTAACCTATATATTTTGCAATAATATCATCACACATGTATTTAGCGCCATACTGTTTTAATTGCTGATGTAGTCCATACTGATTCATAAGCACACATAGGTCCTCCAAGGAGATGGAATTAGCCAGATAAAGATTACAAGACTTGACACCATTTTCATATTTTTCCACATCTTGCGTGGAAAACCAACCATTAGTGTCGGGTTCTTGCTCAAGTGCTTGAAGTAAAAAGTACATATCTGTTTCTAAACTAGTACGTAGCAAATAGACAGCTTGTCTTATACAGGAAGATTGATGATGGCAGCAGGCATCACCACGACGACCAGTAATACTCCAACCAGACATTTTGACTCTTCAAAGGTTGCTATTGTAATGTGAAAAATAAAAAGCAAGCCTGTTTTTTATAGTCATTTATTAATACTTATACTAATTGGATTGGAGGGTGGTACAACACGCGTCCAGCTTATCTAAATCCCTGACAATTTTGTCTAGGTTCATAGTAGCAAGTTCTAGAAAGTAGCAGCTACGTTCACATTTGTTCAAGTTACACATGCTGATAATTGATTGCAAAAGATGGCTGCCGTTTTTGACATTGTGAGTAACATTCAAATATTGTAGGCAATCGTCATAGTATACAATGAAATTCAAATCCTTGACTAATTCTAATCTATAATTTATGAGAGGACAAACAGTTGAAATTTGTTTGATATCGTCCAAGCAAAAACACAATGCACAATTATTCGACGTAAGAGTTAGAGCTTGTTCACCGAAAAACGATTCGACATACAGAGTGAAATTCTCGGATAACGCCTGTTGTTGACCAGGCACAGCAGAGTCTTTGACGCCAGCAGCAGTTTCATTCACCATCTTGGAGACCTTTTCCAGGAATTCATACCAGTCGAAATCGGCTAGAGTTATGCAAGTTTGATCTTCGGGCAAGTTTAGCATGGAGTTTACTATTTTGACTGCTGGCAGCATTCCTCGAGCGACGCTTAGGCCCACAATCAACTTGAAATTGTTCACCTGGTAGCTAACTTCGTTGAGTAAACGTTTCTCTTGAGCAATTTCCATTCGACTTTTCAAAATCATACTGTCCAAATATTCCCAATAATTTGACGAACACTGCGAATCGTCGCTGTCTTCGGCACTGATATCTGCGTACATTGTGTGATTCGATGCACAGGACATTTCACGATGACACCGTGACTACGTTCAAATACTGAGACACAAATGTGGTACTTTGAGGTTTATAATAACTTTTACGGCCCCCCACCACCACCACTCCGTCGAACATGTCTTAGACCAATCACATGCGAGTATTAAATGGCATCTTTATTCATGTCAATCCAGCTGTTGTGTGATTTATCAAAGCCTAACCACTTTACAAGCATTTTGTTTCCCTTTTTTCGTAGCACTTGCTCCACGAGAAATACGTCTGGCTGTTTTGTTTTCTGCAGCTCTTCCTCGTAAAATCCACCGCTTATCGGCTGACCTTGCAAGTCTGCCAACAGATACGTCGTTGGATTCGTGATATGAACTTTAGCTATTTTAAAGAGCTCTGTAGTCCAGTTTGGGGTATAGCCTTTTTGGAAAACATGTTTATACTTGCTTATGCGAACAATGTCACCAACCTTGAACTTTTGCTTACCGGCAACTTTGATATGACTATAAACACTATCAAGTATCGCCTTTTCATTGTTTTTATTCACGTTACTCGGCTTCATATGTATCGTACGATGTTTGCTATCATTATAGGCATCAGTTATAGGCCGCAATAAATCCAGCCATTTATGATTCCCATTCAATGTAAATTGCTTGAACAG